CTCGGCAAAGCTCATTAACATTATTAATGTAGTTATTTAGTTTCTCGGCAAAGCTCATTAACATTATTAATGTAGTTATTTAGTTTCTATTTAAACTGTTATGAACCACTTACTTTGATGTTGCAGTCATTCAAAAACACTTAATAGGGTTATTTTTCTCACGCCTTGACTACCCCTAGTAGCTCAGTAGTAAAAATGAAAGCTTATAAAACTATAATTCAGAGTTCGATCCCTTCGGTTGGCACAGAGTAGCTTGATCAATGTGCAGCCTTGCATTTATGTAACAATAAACCTTTTCAGCGCAAATTTTAACGATACAACTTTGTCTTTATGTTTTACAACACCTATCCTTCTTTACTTTCCTCTAGGTTATGTAAAAGTTTTCTGGAAAAATAACACATAATAATATGCGCGTAAAGTTAACTAAGTCAATGTTTAGGAAGACGAACTTAAAAATAAAATAAAGATAGAAGATTTGGAGATGTCAATTTAAAAAACTTCCCTTATTCAAAAAGTCTGTACCATCGAAACGTTTAGTTCAAAGTCTGCCTCGCTCTCGTGATATCTGTCAAGCTAACAAAATATTTATTTCTCATTCTTCTGATGCTGTATAACTTTTTAAGAACATTCTAACCTATATACATTTTTAGCCATACGTATTGTATCAAAGATACAATTTTAGCAAACTGCACAAAATAAAATTATTGGCTAATTTATAAACCTTAATAATGTTTAGCCCTTTTTTTGTATAAAACAAGTGGGATTTTGTGTACAGCTTATAGCCGAGACATTTACGTGTCTTCCAAGCATTTCTATAACTCAGTCTAAGGGTATACTCATGTCCATTACTGACATACATCTATTTGTTAGTTCATATAGCCATCTAGTGGTTCAGCCGTAAGTCTGAAGGCTTATGACGCTGCAAACCACGTTTGATTCCCCTTATGGGAACAGCTTGGATAGTCCATTGTGTGTTTGTGCTTAACGGTAAACAAACAAAATTAATACCTCTTCTGCCAAAGCAGTCGTAGTACTTAATATGTCATATAAGCTTTTTTTAAAAAAAGCAATTAAAGTTTTCGTACCTCTGATGCCATTATAAGAATTTAAGGTCTTTTAACACAGTTTGTGTTTCATTAGATTAATTGATCATACACTTTATTATAAACTTTCTGAT